AGCAATTGGACTTGCGGTTTTTAACAAGAAGTTCGAAAATATCACTTTTTACCAAAAATGACAAAAATATTCACCAAAATTAGAGAATTAAAGATATCATTACAAAATGAACAAATCTGAGAGAGGTCCACATGTAGTACCTATATATGTAATATCAAAGTAATTGCAATTGCGGTTTTTAACAAGAAGTCGAAAATATCACTTTTTACCAAAAATGACAAAAATATTCACCAAAATTAGAGAATTGAAGATATCAACATGAAATGAACAAACCTAAGAGAGGTCTACCCAAGGTACATATACACCAAGTATCAAAGCATTCAGGCTTGTAGTTTTCAAGAAGAAGTCGAAAAAGTAAAACATTGACACGGACGACGGATGAACGACGGACGACGACGACGGACAATCACTCATATGATAAGCTCTGCTGGACAAAGTCAACAGCAGAGCTAAAAAAGTAAACTTTGAATTAGCATCATATTATTTAGAACACTCAGAACATAATTTGTATTGGACATTCCAATAGTACAGTCTGGGCATAACAGGCTGGCTATCAGCTGACGTTGCCTCTTCATAACAATTTATAAAGTTTAAAGTGGGTGTTATGTCATCCATAATTTCAACTTATATTTATCAATGTTACTAATGTGAGAAATATTTAGGTAGATTGCAAGTTTAAAGCTGGTTAAATGGTAAGTTACGCTCGGACCGCATTGAACAGCTATTAAAAGGCTTGAATTTGGGAAAGAGGCCAGAGGGCAACCAGTTTCAGTGCCAAATTTGATAAAATTGTCAAAAAATGTAAATCTGTATTTTTGAAAGGCACCAACGCAAATTCATTGGGCATGAAGACATGAATTTCCTTGAATGCCTTCAAACATTGGGCTAAAATCTTCTTGGTTTAAAGTGCTTGAGAAATATGTGATACACAAACTTTTGTTTTTTTAGATGGGCCTTGGTTTATGATTTCATACATGTAGCAAAATTATGATAACAGAATGTAAACAATGATTACTAATTGTTTGGATCCAAATCCCTAATTCATGGATCTTGATGTTTTGTGACTCTCCAGAGTAGCTATATATACTTAAAAGCTGTTGGCTTTTGCTAATTCGCTGAGATAAGTCTTTCAGAACCATAAAGACAAGCCATGTCAGGTTCACAAGTACTGATAAACAGTGTGAACGTTGACAAAACAGAGTTTCTTTACTCAGTTTTCCTAGTAAGGCAATATTTTCCACTGTATTATACACCACATTATGATACAAACCCAGTTCAGGACCTGTCCTGATTTCCAGAAAAAAATGCAGATTAAAAACTTGATGTACCGATAATACCTACAATATTCAACAAACAGTGCATATCCAAAAACATAACAAATATGGCATTGAAATAGTATTGACCCCCCCCCCCCCAATTGATTTCATGCCAAGGTTGTATCACACATAAACAATGTGATATTTATGTTTCAAATATGGTTCCCTCGAACTCGTAGTTCAAAACACGCATTTAAAAATTCTGATACATATTAATCAACTCCTTCCATTAGATTTACAAATGATTTACTATACAAGTGATGTACATTCATATCATGATCAAACAATTTGAGTTTTCGAGTATATGCTCGCCCCCTTGATGGAATTGCCTGCCACTTGAAATTGAACTAGCATCATCAGAGTTCTGATTGCGTTTTCAACTGTTTGTGATCTTGGAAAACCTGAAGTACAGAAACACTTAAAGGTATTGTTTGGCAGTATTTTTTGCAAGAAAAACATCTTTTCTCAGGCACTTTAATGCAAGCTGTAAGTTTCATCTACATACACATGTTCCCTTTCAGTTTATTTTTATAAACCCATACATTTAGACAGGAGTGAAAAATATAGTAGAAAATGAGTGTGTAGATTCAAATAATTTTACCTGTGCACGCTGTGCCTCCATTGTTCGTAGTTCTTCTATTTTATTCTGTATATAGCTTCTCATCTCAACTATTGATCTCTCACTTGCTGATAATTTTCTGTGCAGTTCCTCTTCTTGTAATGAAATCTGATACAAAGTTGTAACATCCACATTGCATGCGGTGACACTATCCTCATTTTTATTATCCTCTAGTTCTACCACAGCTTCCTGAATCGTATTTTCCTTCATTTTACGCCTCTTGGTCTGGGCGTCTTCTAGTATCTCTGAAGTAACATTTTCTGAACTAACATTTGCTTCCTGTTTGAAAATTTGAAAGAATATTGATTAATACCACGTTTTTCTGTTTTTTGTGTTCTTTACGCCAACAAAAGTTACGACATAAAGGAAAAACAGATCACCACAGATGTGACTATTACATAATAAATACACCAGCATACAAACAGATGAGCACATGTTACGTCAGTGTGAGAGAGCTTCATTATGACTGATGTCACACTAACGATTATTGGGTGTTGTAAGTGCATTGGCCATCTGATACTAAATTTTAGTTTATTTTATTTCAAAGTAGACAGGCAGGCTTTCAGATCTTGTATGATCAGCATACAATCATAAGTTACAGACTACTTTGTAGACAGACATTGCCTGTTACAGTAAGGCATTCTCTGATTGGACTGATTGGAGTGAATGTGATTTACATACATGTTCACCAGTGACATTTTAATCTAGTGGAGCTATCTACATTTAAAGATTAATTTTCATTGTACAACACCAATTTTTGATTAATTTGTTCTCAGTAGAGATAGTAATTTAAGGGAAGACAAAGGTTGTTTGCAAAGCATATAGTGCATGATTAAGGAAATTATTATTATAGGAAATCAATACCGCAAAGAATGTGCCGGGATGTACATTTAGTTTCAAGATATAAGAGTCAACAAACATTTTTAACTGCAGGGTCTATGGCTTGCAGCTTACAGTTTTATATTTTTAATAAAGTGTGTGTACTAGAAACCGAGTAACTAAAATAAATTAATTTAAAAAAACAATTATCATTTAGTGCGAATAAAATACATCATAAATAGAAATAAGCTGCAAATGAATACTTACGATATCAGCATGAGATCTTTTAGTTCGAGACAAACTATTTGGACTTGGCGGATCTGAATCTAATTCTATAATGTTTTCATTCTGGCATTCTATCACATCATCAACCTGTGAATCGGTATCTTGTAGTATCTGCGGTAGTGTCAACTGAGATGGAAGCAACTGCAGACCAAATCTTGGAAGCTTTGAAGGTGGTTTGGTTGACTGTACATGCTGTTTCAGTCTTTCAAACTGTTTGTCCTGTCTATGTCTGGAGTGTGGTGAACTCAACATCTGTAAAAGTCTCTGCTCGACACCTTTATCTCCACTTTTTGGTCGCTGTCCAACATGAAGACGACTCCTTGCATGTCCTAAGTTTGGCTGCACGATTCCTTGGCTTTTGGCAATATTCTGGGCTCTAATGTGCTTAGATAGTTCTTTTTGTAAGTCTTGAGGTAAGTTAAGTTTTGAAAGATCCAGACTACTTTCTTGTTCGCTGCTTTCACTTGACACGTATTCATGACTATGGAATCGCTGGTACTGTGGCACTTCCTCTGAGGACGTACAGTCACCATCATCATTTTCTTTTGGCCTGTTTTGATTGTCTTGATGAGAGACCTGTGGATACGGTGGGTAAGAATCAGATCTGCTATATCTTTGTTTTCTATATTTACCTGGGCTACAAGGAGATTTCTTCCTTGATGCAGTATCTTCATCTGTTGACTCTGTATAATAGGAATCAAACTGAGGCTCTACAAAATGAATTCCTTCTGCACTGTCTGTATCTACTTGCATTTCAAACTCATTTGAATTTAGTTCATGAACTTCATCTGTCTGCCTGAGTGCATCTGAACTGCTGTGATGTCTATCAATGTGATTCTTATTAACAGAATCAGATTTGCGATCTCTATGTTGCATTTTTTTATGATGAAGTGGTCCCTTGTTATCTGTTGTTCTCTTGACTACTGGGGGACAGTTGTGTTCCATACTAAGATTAGGTTGACTAGGTCGCTTAAAAAAAGGTTCAACCAAAGATGTTGTTTCCTGTGGCTGAGGTTCATCTGGAGGTTGGACACGCTCTAATTCTTTAGCATAAACACTCTTCAAGCTTTTGTCCATGTCATCAACATGCTGCTGATTTCTTGATGCAAAGCCACGAGCTAATCTTTGCTTGAGCAATGAAATCCTTTCTTGGTTTTTAACGAGTTGTTCTTTTTTAGCTCTTATCTCTTGTAATCTTTCCATCTTTTCCTGCAATTTATTTTTCTCTGACATCACAACAGTGGACCTGCTCAACTCCTTTGCATGTTCTTGAAATGAATTTGTTTTCAGTTCATCTAATGTGATTGGTCCTGGTGACTTATCTCGAGTTGACTTGTCAATATTGACATTGCCTAGCATAGTATCTGGCGTAGTAGAAGTGATTTCAACAGGTGACCGACAACTTGGAATGGTATTATTGTCTTTAATACTTGTGTAAGTGGAGGAGTATTCAACTCTCCTATCATTAACAGGGATAGATCTTTCCTTTCTGAAGCTAGCCCCAAGTTCTGATACCGGGATACCACCAGTGGAGTAACTCTTTCTACGAGGGATTAATTGTTCTGTACCCTGGCGTCTTTGATCCATATATCTGAACCTCTCATTATTGACTGCTTCGTCAACTCTATTTACATAACTTGATTCTACAAATGTACGAGTATTGTGTGCATAGACAGACAATGCTTGATTTTTATTGTGATGTCGGTCTTGGTTTTGCTGTTCATAAGGGTAATCACGTTCATTAACTGGAGTACTTGTTCTCCAGCCAATATCCTCATGATACCAATTTTTACTGACAGTATTATCTATCCTAGCTGGAGAAGCATATTCATAATTTTCTCTGTGAAAACTTCTGTTGTAACTTCTGAAACTTTCCTGGGGTAAAAAAGATCTTTCTTGTGGGTATCTTTTCTGTATGCCCCTGTAAAATCCCTGAGCACTATGTGGTCTATTGTAGTAATTGTACTGACCAGTATCTTGGGGATAATCTCTTTCCCATTCCGGTTTTCTAAGTGCAGGTTCAAAGGTATGATAATAAGAGCTCTGTGAGTGGTTGTCATCTGAATAGTTAGATACACTAGTGTTCATTGCCTTTGATGGTTTGTTAGGTCTATCATCATTCCTTTTAAATCCAGCAGGTGTTTTCTGGTCATAACGTGATCTGCTATCATGTTGTGGTGTTCTGTTCTTCAAATCACTACAGAGAAAATAAGAATTGGGGCATTATTATTTTGTTCTCAGAAAATGGGCAATAAAAGAGGCGAGTCTCTGTTTTTAAATGTTGGGACTAATAACAAACTAGCACTAAGGTGCTAGGAAACTAAAATTTTAAACTTAATCACCAGTGTTTGAGTATATATTCAAACACTATATACTTACTTATTCACTGGAGTCTTCAACAATGCTTTTGAGAGGTTTCTTGTTGGAGATGAAGAATCATGTCTACGTCTTTCAAGACCAGCTCTGTGCTGCAGAGAAATAAGGTGTTTTCCATATGCAGATAAACCTGTACAACTGAAATGACATAGACTGCATACATGGGCATGTTCCCTAGAAACAAAAAAAGAGAAATGTCACCTTTTTACAGATACTGCTTGCTTTTGAATGTACACTGTACACGTGCATGAGTATACAGGTATACAGTACTATAAATATGCTTCAATAGGGATTATTTTCTTGCAAGTCTTGCTGTAGTAAATAGTTCCAGCTAAGCTCTGGTAAAGTAGTGTTTTCTTCAACTTATAGGTTGATTATGTTGTACCAAACTAAATGTATGTGACTATGAACATCACAGCAGTGATTATATGTTGTATTTATGACAATAAATAGTGTATGAGTTGTATAATTGTGACGAATAAAAGTAAAAACACAAACTAGTTAAAAGACTGCTGTTAATCAATGTCACATTGAACTACTGAAAAAGGGTGCATCATCTAATCTTCACAAACATTTACATAGTTCCTATTGTGATGACTCAGAGAGTATAAGCTAGATTTGCATACATTCTCTTATTAATATTTTGATGTTTTTTTAAATAAAATATGGGACTGTATAAATGGAGAAAGTCGATCACCACGAAGTAAACAAGTGACTTGTAACCATCGCTTGCTATTAATATTAATGAGCATTTCAATTACATCACAGGATTTGATGGGGGAGTGTACATTCACATTCAAGTTAGTCGTGAATAGTGGACCAGTGATCGCTCGCACATTAACAAAAAAACAAGCTTCACAACTGTCATATCACATCGTGACCAGATTGTACACATCGTTGGTAATATTTATTTTGTGCATGTTGACTGAAACACGTACAGGACCGATATCAGTGTATTTCATGAGTACAATTTCCTGTCTTGTGGTAGAGAAAGACAAACAAGACCATTACTAGTAGTAACATACAAATAAATGCCTGCTTATTTATAGTAAAATAGAAATAATCATTCATTATGTTCACGGTTAAGTTTAAGTGTGTGAGTGTGTTTGTGTTACACAAGAACAGTCGTTACTTTGTAAAACACAAGAATAACGAAAACGTTACAATTACAGCAGTGATTTACTTTGGGGTGTTTGGCTATTAATTATCTTTACTATTGCTTCGCATCACAAGTAGCATTTATGTCGCCAGTCCGTAATTTAGTGATGGCATCATTTGTTGGCACCACGGCTACTAATTTTAGTAACCGTGTTGGCACCATAGAGTAAAAGTGGATAGTTTGCTTATAGTTTACAGTAGTGAGCATGGCAGCACCCTAAGTATGTGTGTATATATTACTGGTCATTGTTACATCACAGTTCAATGAAAAGATGGCAAATGGGTATGATAAGTAACACGTTCCAAATATTAGTTTTGTCATTATGAAATCCCCATGTAGTTCAGGTCAATGCTTTATGGAAGTCTGATTGAACCGCTGAACAAATTGACACTTCTGGAGATTATTGTAATAATCTTGTAAACATACTACAAGGGTTTCTGTGTACATAGGCTATGCAAGTGATTAACAACAATCGCCCGGGAGACTGAATTGGGCCTTTAAACCACAAAAAATACTTCCATTATAATGTTTCTCTCTCAAGTAAAAATGGCACTTGTAACCATAGTAACATATCAAATGGTGTTATTAATTAAAATAAAGATATTTTCTGTAAAATTTTTATTATTAATTACAAAAATATATGATTTAGTATATTCATACATTGTACATGAATTGACAAAACTTATGCGATGATGGTAGATTTTTCAATCAGGATATAATTTACTAGTATTACAGAACATACAATATATTGGTAGTTTAAGGTTACAGTTTCATGAAAGTCTCTGGAATATTTTTACATTTCACGAATTAATTGCTTATTGATATACAATGTCATATGTGGAAAAATTAATGTGGGTATGAACCAAATTTTTTTAGATAAATGTAATAATATTTTTAATAGTAACTATTTTTATGTAAAGTGCATTGAGATTATATGTAGTGCATTACATCGCTATATAAGAATTAAAAATAATAATATTAAAAAAAGTAATCCATGACTCTTTCAATTAGAAATCAAAGAAAGCTTAGAGAGAACTTCTGTGTGCTGAGAGTATTGTAGACATATTAAAAATTAATTAGCTTTCCAAACAAGGTGCTTGGCAACTAATATTTGTCTGCTATTTAAGATGAACATTTACAACATGAAAACAATGTGATCCACATTATTGAAATTTATAATACTTACAGAAAATACATTTGATTTTACATTTGTTTTTTTTCAGTCTAATTTATTCCAAAGCACCTCTACCACAAGTTCAATTTAAATACCTCAAATAAATATGCACAGATTTTAATGTAAAACTAATAAGGTCTGTGCAATGCAACATACCATCAATGTACTACCGGTAGGTCTGTGCAATGCAACATACCATCAATGTACTACCGGTAGGTCTGTGCAATGCAACATACCATCAATGTACTACCGGTAGGTCTGTGCAATGCAACATACCATCAATGTACTACCGGTAGGTCTGTGCAATGCAACATACCATCAATGTACTACCGGTAGGTCTGTGCAATGCAACATACCACCAATGTACTACCGGTAGGTCTGTGCAATGCAACATACCATCAATGTACTACCGGTAGGTCTGTGCAATGCAACATACCATCAATGTACTACCGGTAGGTCTGTGCAATGCAACATACCATCAATGTACTACCGGTAGGTCTGTGCAATGCAACATACCATCAATGTACTACCGGTAGGTCTGTGCAATGCAACATACCATCAATGTACTACCGGTAGGTCTGTGCAATGCAACATACCATCAATGTACTACCGGTAGGTCTGTGCAATGCAACATACCATCAATGTACTACCGGTAGGTCTGTGCAATGCAACATACCATCAATGTACTACCGGTAGGTCTGTGCAATGCAACATACCATCAATGTACTATCGGTAGGTCTGTGCATTGTCCTAGAACATCTAAGTACCAAGTTTCATTGAAATCTAATGATTAGTACTTGAAATATCAGGAGAAAAATGTACTAATTATGATAATTAGGTAATTAACCAAAAACTTATAAGGTCGGTGCATTGTCCTATGACATCTTTGTACCAAGTTTCATTGTAATTTGACGATTAGTACTTGAGATATCAGTGGAAAAGTCAAAATTGCTTAATCATTAAACAAATCAGGTTATTAATAAGCAAGGATTTCAACCAAAACCAAATTAAATCTGCACATTAGCCCGAAGCATCTATCAAAAACAACATATGGTTTTTGAGATATTAGTGGAACAGACACACACACACACATACATACACAACCTTACACGTCTTACTGACGTTGTGACAACACACACTCAATTAACTTTTAATATACTAGTAGTTGCGATATGAACTTGATTAAAACATATACCTATATAGGATTACAGTTGAATTTTAAAAGTTTAATTAAATAAAAGTTGAATATCCTGAGATATTAAGTTTAGTAAAAGGGGTAGGCATGATACAATTATATTAATATTAAATTAATATAAATTGAACCATCCCTTCCTCCTTTATTAAACCTAAGCTAGACAAACTAGACTTAAATTTGATTAAATATTAATATAAATTATGAAACATTGTGAGGGTCGTCACAATGTAGGTCCTGTCGTACACACATACAGACACACTAACTGCAAAGACTCTCATTGTGTGCTTTGCACGTAGGAGTCAAAAATCTTTGCGATTTTAATTTAATAAACCCTTATCCTGCCAGACCCTTGTACTTTTACATTGATTAGACCAGATTAGGGTTGAACTCAAGATAATGAAAGATTGCGCTTGGAGCTACATTTTGAAAAAAAAAGAAGGGGAAGGGGGTTATGAACCTATTTTTAAAGATACACTGTTTACACTGTATTGCTAATGATATATGTAGCCATTGCTTCCTGTGGCAATACTTGTAGCTATTTCGTTCTTGCAGTTACAGTAAGTAATTAGCTCTATGGTAATACATAGGCAACAGAACATGTTTTCACATGAAAAATCCTATGCAGCAACTTCAAACCTACCACATTTGCAAAACTCAAAGCCTGTTCAAAAACAAAAATCTAGTACATCATCGAAAGATTGGTAAGAGTAGAAAAACATGGATGGGTTTAAACAAGTTACATGTCTTTGTTTTCATACACAATAACAGTTTAAATTCAGATTCTAGTTTTGTGTCTGTGACAGCAGCATCAGTCGCTGCATTCCACTGATGAACACACATACAGACAGTTAGGAAGAAAAAAATTTAATATTTACAATGGATTAAACCAATATGGATTGACTACTTACTTCCCATGAACTTTTTCCATTCGCTGATGATGTAACAATGACCAATCATGTTCTTCAAACTGAGTTCTAGTGAAATAATCTAGGTTGCAAAGTTCACAGAAGAATTCACTCTCATTGTTTTCTTTGCACTTCTCACCAACCTTGTTGTTTGATCCAGCCATGGTGTTCACCTGGGTTTAATAATAATAATAATAATAAATGAAAACTATGTGACAGTCAAATAGTTGGCTGATTGTTAGGAATACAAACCGGAGTACTAAAAAGGCACCATCTTTCTAAAATCAGAATCAGGTACCTCTATTTAATTAAATCAGAGCGACAGTTCAGTTCCACATGAGCAACAAACTAAGAATGCACACATGAAATAGGTATATCTCTACTCCTATCATAATACAAGTGTCAATGACGGTTTGAATGGAAGAAAACAACTTGAATGGCTGTATAACCAAGGATGCAAATAATTATACTATACAGTGTTGTGAGAACATTTGGCTGGATGCCAACAGGTATTCAAACTTTGGTGGCAGTTATACTTTATCTAATCAATATATGGGACACTGCACAAGGTTATGGTCATATACTGTCTAAAAAATGAAGGTTAATTTAAAGAGTAAAACATAAAAACATAACAACTTTTGATATTTAATCACCTTGCCAAAGGTCCAGCCAAAATTTGTACACTACATATATGTATACAAATACCTCCAAGGTGTGCTATTCAATGTTCTTATCGGACAATGGGAACTAACAAATTTTAACAAAATTAGCAATACTAAACTTTTTTTTTATTTCTATGACCTGGTAGTCAGTAACTACATAAAGTACCCCAATTGTGGTGGCTTTTTTAAAAAATGTTTACAAGATTAATCTACTTTTGAAAAGAGATTCAATGTTTTTATTACTTGTTACAGCATGTTTCTTTATTGACCCACCTTTAACTGCCAGTTTTATGGTCAGATGTAATCTGCTGTTTAAAAGTGTCCTTAAATAACCGAAAAATCAGAAAAGAAGTCATTTTCAACCAAAAGTGTCTATTCACACTTAGCGAAATGAAAAATATTGATTATCACGCAATGTTGCAATCAAGTTGTACAGCAATAGTATATGTGAAAGGTGTAAGGATTAAATTATTAGGGTGGCAAACACAAATATGTTACGCATTGAGTACCGTAAGTTGGCTTTCTAGTTGATTTTAATGTTAAAGTAGGATTGCGTTCAGGTAAAAATTAGTATTTTTATTATTCACTTGTTATTGATCTGATCACCTAATTAATACCTTACTACATGTACTACTACTTTTACTACCGCCACAGTCCCTCTAATCACTGCGCTACCGGGGAGGTAGTTACACACACGGCAAAAGTGAGAAAAAAGTGCATAGTAATATCAAGGCGGCAAGACTGACTGTCGAAGAAAGATGAACAGCTCATATTGAAAAAAGTTAGTTAGGGGACATACCGTCATATTGCGAAAAGACCGGTTTCATGTCATGTTGGAGTCATAACATAAACAGTCCGTTACGCTTACCGATTCCGAGCTGGGATGGGATGGTTTGTAAACACATTGATTCAGCACACTATGTACGACACACGGTCGAAGGCAGATACTTACCCGTATACGACAGTTAATTGATATGCTTGTATATGCCTGTACTTGTAATATCAAAAGACGTAACTGTCATTGAACACATTAGGTGAACCGCGTAACAGCGCCAGTTCTAACACCAATCGAGACGGCCATATTGGGAAACTCTTTGAAAGGAATTGTGGGAAATACACATAAGTTCTGCCCATTTTCATTGACCCCAAATGATGACCTTGTCGAAAACACGAAAGAGGATATAACATCATTTCACCAGCTTTGGAAACATGAATATTATAAAGAAAGCAATTCGCGAGAGCATTCGAACGCCATGGTGGCTGGCGTTTTGAAATCAGCATTATTTCATATCTTTTTTAATTTTCCATGCTCAATTTGTGTTTAGTTGTCACCATTCTTCTCATTGGTCGATACGAACAATATGCTTTTTATTCACAATTGACCAGCCAATCACCCACAATTTTACAAAATCAAAAAAGGTAGGAGTTTCCAATGACGTCACATCACTGCCATTTTGGATTTTCGCTGCCGAACCGAGGGATACAGAAGCTGTGATTTTGAAGTAAATCCACTGTTTTCTGGAAATCCTGCCGACACCATAAGGTAGTTATTTGACACATTCTCTTTACAAGTTGCGGTTAGTGGTTTGTTCTAAAAAATATGGGATGTCGAGTAATTTCTGTCTCGTTAGCCCTGAGGTTTACTTGTGTATTATCACTGGCACTGTATAACGGTATTATCATAACTGCAGTCTGCTTAATAATATTGAAGTGAATAATATCTAAATATTATTTTAACATTTATGCTTCAAAGTATTGAAATATGTTGGGCAAGTTCTTAGAAAAAGTTGTCAAGAAATAGATGATGATGATAATATTATTAATAACATGATTTTCGTCATCTGTACATCATCTCGGTTCGCCGATGAGTGACCTAAAAATGAATGAAAATAATAGGATGGAGACTCAAGCACCATAATGAAGTAGGGGCAGGAGATCTTTTCAAGGTCACTTGGTACTGGACTAGAAATATATGTAGTTGTTTTTGGCTATTATGTAATTCAGCATAAAAAAGGTTGATGATTATTAAACTCTTATTTAATATTACAGTTGTTACAGTGTGTGTGTGCAAGCAATAATTAACAATTAAAAATGATTAAACCTGACTGTAATTGCATTTTAATTCTGAGATTATAACAGTACACAGCTGAAACCTGTCTGCCAGCATCTGTTTACAATGTAATCGCTATGTGAAAACATTTGATTTTAGAAAACAATAGCTGAATAATAGAGATTGGTGTATGAAATAAAATTGATACAAAACAAGAAATAAAAATCTCTCAAGAGATTAAAAAAAAAGTGTTCAACACATCTTTGAAGTTTAAGTTTTACCCATTTTTTATGCTAAATGGCCACTGTTCAAAATCTGTTTCCATGGAAATGAGTCTGAGTACCCCCATTTTCCTTCAGTATGGAAGCGTAATTGATGAATTTTGATGATAAATTTTCAAAGCAAGTTGGGTTTACGACAATTATCTTGTAACCAAGCATCAATCATCCATCTACATTGACAAAAGAGGAATATATTGTAAATACCTACATTAAGATAAAAGTCAATTCCAGAGAGAACATATAATGTCCATTAATGCTTTAAACCCATATGTAAAATAACATACATCAGTCATCTGCCTAACCGCACTTGACTAATGAAATGTTGAGATTGGAGATTCTAAATTTCACAATTCATGATCTACAGGCACTTTGTATTAGGAAACTTATGATGAGAAGCAACAATGAATAAATACAGCAGCTATAATTGGTCTATTTAACCAACCATTAACATCAACAATATTCCAAGGTTTAAAGGGCCGTGGTCATCACACCATGTCATTTCAATAAGAGTCCCATATGACTTAAAATACACAAAATTTGAATGCACTCTGCACAATGACCATAATTTGTTGAAGTGTGAGTAATGTACAAATAGAGTTGAATGTCTTTAAGGCTGCAAAATGCTTTCAGATTGATGAATATGAATGAACTATTACAATTAGAATACGAGTGAATAATTTCCATTCATTTATACATAGACTATTGTTACATTTTAGAAAAATTAATTCTATAATCTGAGTTATCTCATCTGTAATTTGTTAAATTTATATAGGTTTTGAAATATTTTATTAATCTGAAAAAGTCTGCATTATTTGGGTGATTTATGTTCAAACACAGTGATTTTTTTGCTCATTGGTCAATACAGTGTCACATAATGGTAAGAGCTGCCCTTTTATCACACAAATCTAGTACTTATCTACTGTGATTTCATTATAATTTAATATTCGAATAATAACTATTAGTAATTATGTACCTCTGACAATTTTTTTCATATACGGTTACAGTGGATGCAAAAAAAAAAAGCTGGAAAACAGAATGCCTATTGATTTTTCTTGGAACTTTCCAATTTTTCTAAGAACATTACCCACAGTTTTTGACATCGATACTTTCAATAGTGAGACACTGATGAGCTTTTATCTTCACTAACCCTGCAGCTGGACATTCCATTATCACAATGGGTGTGCTTTATAATACTAAAAAGAATAGCATTTGCTTAGAGAGGAAGTCAACACAACAATGGTGCTGAATAGGAAAAATAAAATAATAAATTATCCATATATATCTCTAGTTATCGCTAGAGAATGTATCATGGGAATTCCACCATGTTGCTGCATTATTAAAGTATCGGTAATGTGTATCTAAATTTGACAAATATCCGTCACTCATCTCTTCCTAGTTATATACTGTAGTATAGTACATAACTATTCACCATATCATGTTTTATGATTAAACTGCTAATTTATCTTGATTTGGCCAAATTGTATGGTTTATAATTTAGCAGTTACAAGTAAATTCTAACTGTCATGCGTTGAACATGTATTTGCATTTTCGTAGATATACAAGTGCATTTTAAGGAAATTTATGCATTTTTCCTTTATTTAATCTTTTGGTATTTGTTATTTTAACATGTTAGGCAGTGCCACATTAAAGTACATGTGTTTTCTAAGAATGTAATGTCTTAAAAATACTTGTTATAACTGTATGACACATGATTATATGAGTAGGATCTCACTGTAATTAGGATATCAAGAGTGGATTATGTAAGGGTATGCAATCAAGTAGAAAGACGTGCACTGAAATCACACTGTCAAACAAATATACCTTGATGACTTAGCATAATGGTTAATGTGTCTGACTAGTGTCTGTCTTAGGGGAGAGTAAAGCATTCTGTTCTGTTTGTGCAGTTCCTGTCATCTTTACACAGTATGATTGCTGGAACTTTCTTTTCGCAAATCAGCTAAATCATATTGCTCATTAGAACATTATGAGTACATGTACATCAAGTCAGTTTCCCATAATGTTGGATCGAGAGACTGCTACGTCAGTTATGGCACCTTAGAACCACAGGAGTGATTGTGATGAATGTTGGTTTGAGTGAGATTTTAAGAATAAACTAAAACTTGAGAATATAAAATATCTGAAAATATAATTCTAATTACTGGATATTTAGTACATCTTTGAAAGATACAAAAATCATAATCATAATTCAAGACTTGATCTTCTGTATTCTGGGGTCACCCAATTTAAAGGTAAAAATTTCAATAATTGTGAAGAAAATATTTAATTATTTTAAAGGGCATCAAAGGCATTAATGTGAAGCATCTAGCCAATCACCTCCCTGAATTTTGATCCCTGCTGTTGTACATCTTGTCTATTATGTTATGCAATTATTTGCTAGGTTTGAATTTTGAAGCTTTCAATAATTTTTTGGCTACCTTGAAATCCTAAAAATTCAATGAATAGTTTCTTTCTGTACGTAATGTGCTTCTACATGTACTCAAAATATTAGTGAACAACCTGCGACTAATTGAAACTGTAAAATAAATACATGTATCTGACTACTGTAAAATGTGTCATTTTAGTGAATTTGGTTCAATGCACAAATTTATTGAATTTTAGCTAAAGTGCTAAAATTAGCTACATCTTGAGTTAGTGAAATTACAGATTAGCTAAAATAACAAGTTAGCTAAAAAGACATATTTTACACTATTTTAAATAGCATCAAACCATTGGCCTTTATGTTTCAACTTTAAGCCATGTATTAGTTGCATATACCGGTACTATATACAATGTATACTTATATATATATATCATTTTTAGTAACCATGTTGCATACAACCCCTTGCATATTTGTGATATGTTTACAACTACCTGAAAGTTTATAAATGCAACTGTGAAAAGCAAGGTATGGTAATACCTCATGCTGACCCAAAATATATGCCATATTAAGTGCTGGTATTTAGACTGCTCACATCGTTGTTTTATTCAGGCGTATTGCCAAGTAGAATAAATTAGTGGTGCTTGTGGTGTATATTTTAATAGACTCTTAAAGAAATTGATTAGTGGTACTCTAGAGCCTTGATGACATAGAAGATTGTTCATTATTAATTGAATTGCAACCAATGCTTTCTGTAATGAAAGGGCTGTTTAGAGTAGTGCAGTAAAGTTTTAACATTGATATCATGAGGGGTTTCTCATTTGAAAACTTGCCAGTGAGTTCTAGGGTTCGGTGAAAATTTTTCATTGATGAATAGAAAAATAAAGATGGTTGCATAATGTAATAGAATTTGTAAAATGTGCAATTTGTTAAAAATGTTGCGAGTCCATAAATAGGTATGAAATATTTGCAAAATAACCTTCCTCAACCTCACATAACCCCAATGGGGATGATCAGTTATTAGTTCTTGTTGGAAGCCAGCGCGAATATAGGGTCTTTTGGATTGATCTTCTTGCATCCACATCCAATATACAAACTTCATGAACATCTATTCATTTTATGATTTAAATTCAAGATGGCTGAATGGTGGTCATTTGCCCACAATATTTGCATCCAGTTGAATTCTGTATGTACAGTTCTTAGTAATTCCTTTGTGTTACTTTGATGTACAATTATTAAAATGACAATAGATGTTACACAAATTTTGTGTATAAAACTGCTGTTGCTCATTATTAGAACCTGAAGTGAAATAAATTTTAAAATTTAGTATTATTGGCAATTGCTTGACAGTTAATAATTAATGTCATCCATTATTTGCTGTCTCTGTCTTGCATAATTTTAAATGTCAATATTACACAATGTCAAACCAAAGACAATCTATTGTTTTTGGTCAAACAGTAGAAGGCTTCTGTTAACTGAACATGAAGCTCTCTCCTGATGTGCTCACTTATTTATCATGTGGAAAATTTGAGTGTATCAAGTTTATTCCCTTTGAAACAGTTGAATATTGCTGTATTTGTTTGTACAAATTAGGTTTTCATCCTTAAAGGGAGGTGGTCGTCAAGATACAAATGTGTGAGATATGGCTCCCATTAAAGTGCCTGTGAAATGGCTGCTATTTTCACGCCTAAAATTATCAATTGATACATAAATATTATTAATTTTTATGTTTCTAAGCATGAATTATTTTTTTTAAGTGAAAAAATATGTTTTTAATTAGTCTACGGCAACTTTATTTTTGTGTATTTTAAAATGAGGCTTCTCATTTGCTTCTC